ATTATAAACAATGTTGCAGTGAATAGCCTTGTACATATGTATATTTGTATTATTGTAGGCATGTCTTCAGGGTAAATTCCTTAAAGTAGGATTGCTAGATTAAAAGGTAAATACTTTTTGTAGTTATTAAATGTTACCAGATACCCTCCAAAAAGATTGGATCAATTTGTATTCCTCACAACACAGTGCGGAAAGGCCCCCCTCTTCCCCATCAAGAGAATGTGTTACAACTTTTGCCAATTGTCTTATGAATGAAGTTGGACATCTTTCTTAAGCTTAAGGAACATTTAAAAAGCTTTATTTATAAATTGTCTCCTTAGGTCTTTTTCCTACTTTCTATTACCCTTTTTTTCATTTATCTCTCAGTTTAAGAGTTCCATATGTTAGGGGTATTAGCCTTTTATAATACATGTTGCACATTTTTTTTTCTAGTTTATCGGTTGTCTTTTTATTTTGGTCATTTATTATTTTTTTTAACTTCCGAGCTTTCTATTGAGTCTTTAATTTCTGCTATTTTTAATTTTTAAGACTCCTTTCTTATTTTTGGCAATTCCTTTTAAATAAAACTAACATCTTGTTCTTTTTTCTAATGGATATATTTGCTTTTGCTTCTTTGAAGATAGTGTTAGTTTTCTTTTCTTCTGTCATCTTCTTCTTTTTTTTGAAACAGAGTCTTGCTCTGTGCCCATGCTGGAGTTCAGTGGCTCAATCTCAGCTCACTGGAACCTCCATCTCCCAGGTTCAAATGATTCTCCTGTCTCAGCCTCCTGAGTAGCTGGGATTACAGATACGTGTTATCACACCCAGCTAATTTTTTTTTTTTTGAAACCGAGTTTTGCTCTTCTTGCTCAGGCTGGAGTACAATTGTGCGATCTCAGCTCACCACAACCTCTATCTACTGGGTTCAAGCAATTCTCCTGCCTCAGCATCCCGAGTACCTGGGATTACAGGAATGTGCCATCACGCCCGGCTAATTTTGTATTTTTAGTAGAGACGAGATTTTTCCGTGTTGTTCAGGCTGATCTTGAACTCCCGACTTCAGGTGATCTGCCCACCTCAGCCTCTTAAATTGCTGGGATTACAGGCATGAGCCGCTTTGCACAGCCAGTTTTTTTTTTTTTTTTTTTTTTTTTTTTTTTTTTTTTGTATTTTTAGTAGAGTCGGATTTTCATCCTGTTGACCCTGTTGGTCTCAAACTCCTGACCTCAAGCGATCCATCTGCCTTGGCCTCCCAAAGTGCTGGGATTACAGGCATGAGCCACTGCACTCACCCCCACCTTTTTAAAATTGTGGTAAAATATATGTAAACATAGAATTTACTATTTTAGCCTTTTTTAGTTGCACAGTTCATTGGCATTAAGTACATTGGCATTGTTGTGCAACCATTACCACCATTCATCTCCAGAACCTTTTCATCTTCCCAAAATGAAATTCTGTACCCATTAAGCAATAACCTCCTTTATTCCCCTTCCCTGTTAGTTTATAAAAGTTGATTAACCTATCTATTTTGTTTTTATCTGTTTGTTTTGATCTGCTTTTTATCTCTAGAGGTCTGGTGATTCTTGGTCATCTTTTGTTTTTTATTTTATTTTTTTTGAGACTGAATCTCACTCTGTTGCCCAGGCTAGAGTGCAGTGGTGTGATCTTAGCTTACCACAACCTCTGCCTCCCAGGATCAAGCCAGTCCTGTGCCTCAGCCTCCCACGTACCTGGGATTACAGGCGTGTACCACCATGCCCAGCTAATTTTTGTATTTTTAGTAGAGATGGGGTTTTCCCTTGTTGGCCAGGCTGGTCTTTAACTCCTGACTTCAACTGATCTACCCCCCTTGGCCTCCCAAAGTATTGGGATTATATGCATGAACCACCATGCCTGTCTAGTTTTTAAGAATGACCACTAAGAAACTGCTTGGAAACTCTTTAACACGTGGTGGGACATGTCAACTTTGGGCTATGTTGAGCCATTTTGTGGGGGAATATCTGTATCTTTATGGATTATTTTTTGTGTGTATAGACTAGTTATATTCTCCAGAGAAGAATTTTCCAGTCTGTATGGATAAGACAGACTGCTAGCATTCTGGGAGATGAGTGACAAAGAGTGCTTGGGGCCTCGTGTCAGTATATAATTCCATCTTCAAACTGTACCTGGAGTTTCTCTGTCTGCAGACTTTCCATTTGACTCTTTTTGAAGAATAAACTTCCAATCTTGGGTAGGGGAGGGTCACTTAACTGCCATGGTGGAGTTAAGTAGGGATCTGGAGTCAAATTGCTTCTTAAACTTCAGGCTACCCTATAGCCTAAAGTTTAGCCTTGTTTTGTTGAGATATCCACAAATATCAACAAATATCAATTAATTGTTCAGGCTTGTTTTGTTGAGATATCCCCAAATATCACTATCTGTTGGTTTTTTCTCTTTGAACGATCTGTTTCCCCCAGGGACTAGTCGCCTTCTTGGAGGTATAGAGCTTCTTGCCAGTCTTATGGAAGCTGAATGGGGAAGGGCTTGTATTTATCTTCCTAGTATGCTCCTGTGCTCAGCTGTACATGATATACCTGACTATCCTGGGTCATCTTCCCCAGAAAGTGGAATTTTCATTACCTGCCTGGGTAGGAGATGGTATCTAGAAGTTTCACTGCTTCTTATTCAGACTTTGAGCCAGCCCTTCCTTTTAAGCACCATGCATACTCCTGACTTTCCTAGGTATATATTGCCTCTACTTCTGAGCTTTTCTGCTTTCTGAGGTGCTATAGCAGCAGTAGCTGCTGCTGCTGCTGCTGCTGCTGCTGCTTTCTGCTTTCTTCTCTTTCTTCTTCTTTCTTCTTTCTTCTTTCTTCTTCTTCTTCTTCTTCTTCTTCTTCCTCCTCCTCCTCCTCCTCCTCTTCCTCCTCCTTCTCCTCCTCTTCTTCCTCCTCCTTCTTCCTCCTCCTTCCTCCTCCTCTTTCCTCCTCCTCCTTCCTCCTCCTTCCTTCCTCCTCCTTTCCTCCTCCTTCCTCCTCCTTTCTTCCTCCTTCCTTCTTCTTCCTCCTTCTTCCTCCTTCCTCCTTCTTCCTTGTTCTTTCTTCTTCCTCCCTTCTTCCTCTTCCTTCTTTCTTCTTCCTCCTCCTCCTCCTTCCTCCTCCTCCCTCCTCCTCCTCCCTCCTCCTCCTCCCTCCTCCTCCTTCCTTCTTCTCCTTCCTCCTCCTTCCCCTCTCCTTTCTCCTCTTCCCTCCTCCTCTCTCCTCCTTTCTACTCCTCTCTCCTCCTTCCTCCTCCTCCCTCCTCCTTCCTCCTCCTTCCTCCTCCTCCCTCCTCCTTCTTCTTCCTTTCTTCCTCCTTCTTCCTTTCCCTCCTGCTTCTTCTTCCTTTCTTCCTCCTCCTCCTCCTCCTTCTTTCTTCTTCTTCTTCTTTTCTTCTTTTTCTTCTTCCGTCTTCCTTCCTCCTCCTCCTCCTCTTCCTCCTCCTCCTCCTTCTTCTTCCTTCTTCTTCTTCTTTCTTCTTTCTTCTTCTTCCTTTTTTTTTTGAGACAGAATTTGACTCTTGTCTCCCAGGCTGGAATGCAGTGGCTCAATCTTGGCTCACTGCAACCTCTGCCTCCCAGGTTCAAGCAATTCTCCTGCCTCAGCCTCCCAAGTAGCTGAGATTACAGGCACTTGTCATCATGCTTGGCTAACTTGTTTTGTATTTTTAGTAGAGACAGGGTTTCACCAAGTTGACCAGGCTGGTTTCGAACTCCTCACCTCAGGTGATCCACCTGCCTCAGCCTCTCAAAGATCTCATTATGCTGGGATAACATATCCAGATCTCATTATGCTGGGATAACAGGTGACAGCCACTACACCCAATCCTGTGTTCTCATTTGTAAAATGAAGGAGGGGGAAGGGAGAGGAGACCAAATACTACTTAAGACTGATTCCATATTGACTTATTTATAATTTTCTTATAGCAGAATAATTTGTGTACAGCAAATTTTTAAAAGAAAGAGCAGGTACTTTTTCTCTGTATAGTCATGTACCAGTAGATACTCAATAAATACATGTGGTGTCAACATCTCAAGAGGGAGGCCAGCATCCTCTGTTACCAGTCAAAGACTCTCTGAGTAGCCGTGCAAGGACAGGGCTCTATCAAATGCTCTTATCCAGTGATGGTTCTGGATCTCAAATGAATATAAGAAAAAAGAACCAACACAAGCATACACACATATACTGCAGGAACATACTCTAGAGACAGCAGATGGAAATGAATGACAGTCAAAACCAAACAGTGATTTCACTTCAATATTTAATGAGATCTGATATTAATGAAGGCTCTTTAGTCTAGAAAGAAAGGCACTAGTCACTGCAGGTAGAGTGGAAGAAATAATAGCCTATAAATCAGAAGCCAGTATTCTAATTTCAGCTTGCTAACAATTTATTAAGAAAAGCGGCATTACTCTTCTGTATATAAGTTTTCTCTGGGGAAAAGAATGGAGGGCTGAACACACGTTTACCTCAGTTCCTTCTCCAAATCACACTGAGGTTACAGAAATCAGATTTTTTTTTTTTTTTTTTTTTTGAGGTGGAGTTTTATTCTTGTCGCTCAGGCTGGAGTGCAGTGGTGCAATCTCAGCTCAATGCAACCTCCGCCTCCTGGATTCAAGCAATTGTCCTGCCTCAGCCTCCCCAGTAGCTGGGATTACAGGTGTGAGGATTACAGGGCTCAAGCAGTCCTCCCACATCGGCTACCCAGAGTGCTGGGATTATAGGTGTGAGCCACTGTGCCTGGCTGGAAATGATTCTTTAAGTATTTTTCTCAGAGGCAGATGTACAATAAATGGCTTTTTGTTAGAGTACTCATGTCCTCCCTCCTCTCCAGTTTTCATTGTGATGAAAACCTTGGTCAGGTAAGATTTCATTGTGTCTAATAGTCTAAATTGAAGTATTTGTACTTTTTTTTTTTTTTCAATTTTCTACCTTAATTACTGTGAATATCTCTTCATGACCTTATTTTTAGATAGATCTATAACCTCCTTCTCTTCTTTACAGCTGCATCCAGATCTCATTATGCATCAGAAAAATGAAAAAACAGAGGAAAATTCTATGGAGGAAAGGAATACACTTAGCCTTTTCTGAGAAATGGAATACTGGGTTTGGAGGCTTTAAGAAGTTTTATTTTTACCAACACTTGTGCATTCTGAAAGCTAAGCTGGGAAGTCCAATTACTTGGAACAAACACTTGAGACGTTTCCAGTGTAGAAAGAAAGCCCTTCAAATCCAGAAAACGTGGATCAAGGATGAACCCCTTTGTGCTAAGACCAAGTTTAGTGTGGCTACTCAAAATGTTAGTACTTTGTCCTCTAAAGTGAAAAGAAAGGACACTAAGCACTTCATTTCCTCTTCAAGAACTCTCCTGAGACTCCAAGCAGAGAAGTTACTGTCATCAGCAAAGAATTCTGACCATGAATACTGCAGAGAAAAAAATCTCTTGAAGGCAGTTGCTGACTTTCCATCAAATAGTGCTTTAGGTCAGGCCAATGGTCACAGACCTAGGACAGAACCACAAGCTTCTGACTTTCCCATGAAGTTCAATGGGGAGAGCCAAAGTCCAGGTGAGAGTGGCACGATTGTGGTCACCTTGAGCAACCATAAGAGAAAGTGCTTTTGTTATGGCTGCTGCCAAGGGCTGGAGCGCCACAGGAATGGGGGACCCTTGATTCCAAAAAAGTTCCAACTTAACCAACATAGAAGAATAAAATTATCTCCTCTTATGATGTATGAAAAATTATCCATGATTAGATTTCGGTACAGGATTCTCAGATCCCAGCACTTCAGAACCAAAAGTAAAGTTTGCAAGCTAAGAAAAGCCCAGCGAAGCTGGGTGCAGAAGGTCACTGGGGACCATCAAGAGACCCTTAGGGAGAACATTGAGGGTGGCAGTTGCAGCCCATTTCCTTCCCCAGAACCTAAGGACCCTTCTTGTCGACATCAAACGTACTTTCCAGATATGGACAGCAATGCTGTGGTGAAGGGGACGAACTCTCTTGTGCCTGATGGCCACACTAAAGGAAGCCCTTTCTTGGGCAAGGAGCTTAGTTTAGACGAAGCATTCCCTGACCAACAGAATGGCAGTGCCACACATGCCTGGGACCAATCACCCTGTTCTTCTCCTAAGTGGGAGTGTACAGAGCTGATTCATGACATCCCCTTACCAGAACATCATTCTAGTACCATGTTCATTTCAGAAACCGAAAGAGATATTATGACTCTGGGTCAGGAAAATCGGACAAGTTCTGTCAGTGATGACAGAGTAAAACTGTCAGTGTCTGGAGCAGATACATCTGTGAGTAGTGTAGATGGGCCTGTGCCCCAAAAGGCTGTTCAAAAGGAGAACTCATATCAGATGGAGGAGGATGGATCTCTCAAGCAGAACATTCTTAGTTCTGAGTTGCTGGATCACCCTTACTGTAAAAGTCCACTGGAGGCTCCCCTGGTGTGCAGTGGACTCAAACTAGAAAATCAAGTAGGAGGTGGGAAGAACAGTCAAAAAGCCTCTCCAGTGGATGATGAACAGCTGTCCGTCTGTCTTTCTGGTATGCACTTTTCCTTTATTCTCTGCCAGACTCCAAGCTCACACCTGCTGTCCATTATCCTTGCTTATAATAAGAGTTCTATTTTTTTCTCCCACACATGGATTTTTCTTTAAAGCAGATAGTCTTCTTGAAGCCTTTTATATTGCTGCATTATGTAGATGTTCCATAATTTAATCTTTAATGCTCATAGATGCTTGCATTGATTCCATTTTTTCCCATAAGGTAATAGTGCGACGAAATTATTTCTTTTCGTTTTTTGAAACAGAGTCTTGCTCTGTCACCCAGGCTGAAGTTCAGTGGTGGGATCTCAGCTCACTGCAACCTCCACCTCCTGGTTCAAGGATTCTCCTGCCTCAGCCTCTCGAGTAGCTGGGACCACAGGCACATACCACCACATCCAACTAATATTTTGTATTTTAGTAGAGACAGGGTTTCACTGTGTTGCCCAGGCTGGTTGTAAACTCCTGAGCTCAGGCAATCCTCCCACTTCGGCCTCCCACAGTGTTAGCATTACAGGCGTGAGCCAGCATGCCCTGTCTAAAACTTATCTATCTTTAAATTTGTGGCTTCTAGTTCTTAGTCATGCTTTTTAAAAAGCCTTCTCTTGTCAAAACTATCCCATGAAGTAAATACGTATAAACATTTTTTGGGAAGACAATATGATAGTATAAATTACGGCACAGTCAGGCAACAGTTTGCTATGCAGTTATTTAAGAATATAGTTCTAGTCTGGGCATGGTGGTTTATGCCTGTAATCCCAGCACTTTGGGAGGCCGAGGTGGGTGGATCATGAGGCCAGGAGTTCAAGACCAGCCTGGCCAACATGGTGAAACCCCATCTCTACTAAAACTACAAAAATTAGCCAGTTGCAGTGGTATGTACCTGGAATCCCAGCTGTTTGGGAGGCTGAGGCAGGAGAATGACTTGAACTCAGGCGGCAAAGATTGCAGTGAGCCAAGATTGTGCCATTGCACTCCAGCCTGGGCAACAGAGTGAGACTCTGTCTCAAATAAAAAAGAACATAGATCTGTATTTTAATACTGAAAGATGTCTGTGTAAAGTGAAAACAGGCTGAGCGTGGTGGCTGACACCTGTAATCCCAGCGCTTTGGCAAGCCAAAATGGGTAGATCACCTGAGGTCAGGAGTTCAAGACCAGGCTGGTCAACATGGTGAAATCCCGTCTCTACTAAAAATTAGCCAGGCTTGGTGGTGCGTGCCTGTAATCTCAACTACTTGGGAGGCTGAAGCAGGGAGAATCACTTGAACCTGGGAGGTGGAGGTTGCAGTGAGCCTAGATTGTACCACTGTACTCCAGCCTGGGTGACAGAGCAAGACTCCATCTCAGAAAAAGAAAAAAAGAAAAAAAACATCAAGTTGTAAAATGGTATGAAACCATTTTTTCTTTTTTTTTTTTTGAGACGGAGTTTTGCTCTTGTTACCGAGGCTGGAGTGCAATGGCGCGATCTCGGCTCACCACAACCTCTGCCTCCTGGGTTCAGGCAATTCTCCTGCCTTGGCCTCCTGAGTAGCTGGGATTATAGGCACGCGCCACCATACCCAGCTGATTTTTTGTATTTTTAGTAGAGACGGGGTTTCACCATGTTGACCAGGATGGTCTTGATCTCTTGATCTCGTGATCCACCCGCCTCAGCCTCCCAAAGTGCTGGGATTACAGGCGTGAGCCACCACTCCTGGCCACCATTTTTTCTTAAAAGGTACGTACATTAATATGTGTATATATGTGTGCATATGCATTTGTATAGGACATATCAGGACAGATACATGAAATTATTACAAATAGCTTTTGGGCGCTAGTTAGGAGGGTTATTTCTGGGTAGTTTAAACAGTTCTGAGCACTTTATTTTTCCAGCCACTAAGTATAAGAAATTCTTTCTTACAAAAAGGCACAAAGTACAGAGTCTTAGCAAATTAAAAAAAAAAAAATTCCGTCTATCCTCTTCTGTTCTAGAATAAAGACAGATTTCCCTACTGAGGTTAGCAGGTTCATGATAAGTAAACCTAAAAAAAATTAGCATTTACCCACAAATGCCAATTAACCCTTATAGATGTAACAATTCCAAATATGATTGATAAGTTGAATATGCACATAGTAAAACGGGTAGCATGACCTGAGGAAGTAGGAATTCTTACAGAATTCACATTTAGTGATAATATAATTTATTATTTTAATAGGCTAAAGGGAAAAAAAATGTTATCTCAGCAAGTGCTGAAAAGCCTGTTAGTAAAATTATTTCTCATTATGTTTAAATCTCTTAGAAAACTAGTAATAAAGGAGGCTTCCTTCACTTACAAAAGAATATCAATCAGAAACCAATAGCAGTTCTAGGTTTAAGACAATGAAGTAAGCGCATGGAATCTCTTCTTCCTCCTACCAAATCCATAGAAATTATGAAAAATATATTTAAAATACATGTGTCTTCATACTCACAAACAAGGAAGAGAGAGTTTTGGTAGATTAGAAACTCGGAATCAGCTCCCACTGGGCAGAAAGTAGAGGGAAGGTCCAGAGGGGCAGAAGAAGATTAGTGCAGGGAAATGGTGTGACACTGAGTGCCCATATTTCTGGAGATGGTGGAAGTGAAGAGGAACGGGGGACACCCATGGTAAAGACTAAGTAGTTGGGAAATTTCTCCCTGCCTGTGCCTCATAACAACAAAGAACAAATCTGTTATCAAGCCAAAATTCTTAGAACAAGAGACAGGATACTCTTCCACACACGTCCACTTTGTAACACTTGGCAAGAGTGAGGAACATCCATTTTCAGAACAGCTACTGGGGTTCTTAAGGTCCTTATTTCCACTGAAAATAGTTCAAGGCAGAGCGGCAGCTACTGCCCATCATAGCCCTTTGTCCTTCATTCTCAGCAAGTTACCTAAGTAGAGAGGAGCTCACAGTCTATCACTATCATCTGAGAAAAGCCAACACAATGAAATAGACAAATTCAACAAATAACAGAACTAAACCTCAATAATGATTAATGTGGCAGTGAGTACAATAGATGCTCTTTTAACTGACTTTTACAACATAAGCCACTATTGAGTTCTATGGTATGCTGAATGCTGGCTTGTCTTTAATATGACTGCACATTGTGCTCCTTTCAGTTGATTTATATGTTTAAGAGTCGATTATACTTAGGGGTAATTGACTTATTGCAGATTGATTATTTTATTCAGTATTACATAAACTGATGAAATACGAGGAAAACTCCTCCCTTGAAAACCAATGGAATGCTTTGTAATGACAGTAGTGAGTTGCTGCAAAAATTAATACTGAGTTACACTTAGGCCAGACAACTGTAAAAGATTTGAGGTAATGTATGAAAATGTAGGACTCTGTACTGAAATTACTTGTCAAGTTCTTACAACTTCTTGCTTCACTTTAAAGTTGTAACCTCCATGTCTTGGGTATGCCAGGAGATAATGGAAGGGAAACTGAAGAAATTAGGAGTGTTTTCTAGAACTAAAAATAAAGATCTGAGTCTAAAGTTGAAAGGCTTTGTAAGTGCCAATCGGGATTAAAACATGCACAAATACGTACACAAACTCACACTAAATTTTGTGTAGTAAAATTATAGCACATTAAGGATTAAGAGAAATAACTTGCACAATTACTTCTTTTTGAGGGAAAAGGGTTAGATTCCTGTGCCACAAAACATTCCAGATGGATTAAAAGTTTGGCTAACTAGAACCAAATACACAAAAATGTGTACAAAAAAGCTTATAACAGCATTGTTCATAATAGCCAAAAAGTGAAAACAACCTAAATGTTCAACAACTGATGAATAGATAAATAAAATTTGGCATATCTACACGATGGAATATTATTCTGTAAAAGGAATAAATACTGATGTATTCTTAAATGTGGATTCACCTTGGAAATATGCTAAGTACAAAAGACTTTGTAACATATGACTTCATTCATTTGAAAAGTCCAGAATAGGCACATACATAGAGATACAAAGTAGATGAATGGTTGTCAGGAGCTGTGAAGAAGGGGAATGAGAGGTGGCTGTTAATGGGTATAGAGTTTCTTTTTGGGGTAATGGAGATGTTCTGGAATTAGGTAGTAGTGATAGTTATACAACCTGAATATATTAAAAACCAGTGAATTTTATTCTTTAATGGGGCAAATTTTATGGCTTGTAAATCACATCTCAATAAAGCTGTTAAAAAAGAAACAAATACAGGCTGGCCATGGTGGCTCACATTTGTAATCTTAGCACTTCAGGAGGCTGGGGCAGAAGGATTACTTGCGGGTAGGAGTTTGAGACCAGCCTGGGCAACATAGCAATATAAATACATAGAGGCATATATATAGACTTAGTGAGACTATTGCTACAAAAAATAAAATTATCTACATGTGGTGGTGCACACCTGTAGTCCCAGCTACTCGAGGATGAGGTGGGAGGACTGCTTGAGGCCAGGAATTTGAGGCTGCAGTGAGCTATGATAGCTCTGCTGGACTCTAGCCTGAAGGACAGCAAGACCTTGTCTCTTAAGAAGAAGAAAAAAAAAACAAATACAAGTAATCATTCTTTTTAAGTTTTTGGTTTCTTTGTGAGAGTCTCACTCAGTCTCCCAGGCTAGAGTGCAGGGGTGTGATCTTTGCTCATTGCAACCTCCACCTCCCAGGTTCAAGCGATTCTCATGCCTCAGCCTCCTGAGTAGCGAGGACCACCAATGTGCACCACCACGCTTGGCTAATTTTTTGTATTTTTAATAGACATGGGGTTTTACCATGTTAGCCAGTCTGGTCTCAAACTCCTGACCTCAAGTGATCCACCCGCCTTCGCCTCCCAAAGTGCCGGGATAACAGGCATGAGCCAATGTACCTGACCTAAAGATTATTAATTGACAAAATTATATATATTTATGGGGTACGGTGTGATGTTTTGATATATGTTTACATTGTGAAGTGAATCAATCTAATCAACATATCCATCACTCACACGCTTACTTTCTTGTTGTAAGAACATTTA